GGTAACTCCGAGCCAGGGGGAGTGTAGCCAGTCTAGGGGGGGGGGGGGTGAGGGCAGTCACTTGACATGCGTGAAAAGCTGGAATGTTCGAGTTTACACTAGTTCGCCGAGAAACTGCCCCCTAACTGGAATAGACCCGTCCTTGTATTGGAGGTTTAATTTTAGTGATTCTTCCCTTGGGCGTTACTGTCTCCCTTATTTTTATAGTGTTCTGTGTGAATGTTTGACCAGGAACTTGAGTGTAATCCATTTATTCCCCAATGTCAATATTTTTGTTTTCTTTTAAGCGTGTCTAGAGCTAGTCGTAATGAAATTCCCTCCTAGTCGACTGCCTGTTACATCACACCACTTTATATTCAAGGTCACTTATATCGCGCCATCTTTGTTTACTGATTGTGAGTGTTACCAAACCTACGCTCAATTTGAGAACCGCCTACTTCCATGAATATCTTGACGATTTCGAATGTATTTGAGACTATTCAGTTTATGAACCTAAGTTTAGAAAAGAATCGGTTGCTTATAAGGATTATTCAGTGCTTTGAAAAATGACCTTGATTGGCAATGAGAATGACCTTCAAATAGGTGAATTTTCAACCTAATTCTGTTATGCGATTTTGTTGCTGTAGTATTTGACTGAGAACTGCCTAATGTCTCACTTCATAAGATTAGTCCCTTCAAATATCTTCATTTTCCATAGGGGTTACCATAACCTTTTGTATATACTTAGAATTGTTCTGTCCCAAAGTCTCATGTTGATCTGAATGTGTATACAATGTGAGATTCAATTTTATTTGCAAGGACCAAATTTCACAAAGGAAATTGAAAAAGGTGGTTGCAAAGTTTAGGCCTTTTTGGCGGACTTTTCGGCGATTACGCCGTTGCGGCCTGAAGGATTATAACTTTCTTAAAGTCTGTTAATATTAAATAATTAGTGACCACTGCTGTACACTCTCAAGGTAACATTACACTTTGGTCTGTGAAGCAGGAACTGTTCCCTACCCTAGACTTACCCTTAAATAGCGTTGACGTGCTACGACCGTTATTTCCCAAAATATCGCATTCATTCCACAGTGATGATAACTGCAGTCATGCGATGAGTTGAAGAGAGTCACGCAACTCGTCTCTGCTATTTATTTCCGGGGCTAGTCTTTTTATTTCCAGAGCCTCCAGTATTTTGCATTTATATTTTATTTATATAACCTTTTGTATAAACATTGAGGTTTGCGTAAGGGGAGAGTCCATTCGGTGCACTGCGCATAAACCCTTGAAGGCAATTGAGAGCGCCTCCCAATGTTATGGCAATAGTTAACTTATCGCTCCTAAGAACCCAACTCCGGATTGAAAAAGGGGCAAAACTTCATGGGGTGTGATTAGTATAGTGTTAAGCAGATTGTACCGTTTCCTCCACATACATCGCCTTTTCGATTGTGATTCGAGGATTTTCCGTGAGGCAGCCCGCTCAAAATCTCGGACTCTCTATGAACAACTGTGTGACCATTCACGGTGAGCGTCGAGGCGTTACTGGGCTCTACAAATCACATGCTCACTAGAAGCGAAGATCACGCTGTGTTGATCTCGTGGTACTTCCTTATATGGCATGTGATGGCTTCAAATTGTTTTGCGTGGTGGTAAAGTTCAGTGGATGTCTGAGTTCTGTAAGAATTTTTGCAAAACTTTTTGAATTTGCATCGTTTTCCTTTATTCCTCAACCATTTATGCTTTATTGCTTTCTTCTTTCATTGTTTTCTTCTTTCTTTTAATCATTACTATGTGGGTTGGCGCAGTGTTGCGCTGTCTTGATTAGTCGTAGTACACTAATCGTAAGTTTAAAAGCAGGCGATGTCGCCGTAATGTGACAGGCTAGCTGTTGTCGATGAAAGGGCACTGGACGTCCTGATCTTGGTGTTCTCAAATGCTGAAATAATCCGAGTTCCAACCGGCATTCACGATATATTGGTAGACGTTTCGTTTTGACTACTCGGCGAATGTCAGCATCCCCTGCTATTTTGTAGTCATATGAATTTAGTTTTAGCGTTTGCGAGGAGCAATCGTCGGGTTCCTCTCTTCCATTTTTTTGTTAGCACATCCGTTTCCGTTTGTTTTATTGTTTGGAATTCCGCACTCATATGTAAACAGGAAATCACAGCCAACAGGAGCGTTTCCTCCTCAGAAAAAATTTCCATATCTATTTTCTAAGTGATTGCTTATTTATATATGAACGTGGACAGAATCATTCAGAAGCGGGGGTGGGTCATAAAATCGGTGAATACTAAGAATCCATACAAGTTCTTTTTGTTTCAAATAACCCTGTTATCTCAGCTCAATCATGTCTGTTTTCATTAGAAGTAAATCTGCAGTTGGGCTTCCGTCACGGCGGTCTATCGAACGGATTCGCCAATCTTTTCGTGTATTTCCCCGATGGCAGTGCCAGTGCTGCTATTTGCAGTGCTCGAAAGCTCTTTGGACGGCCAATATTGGGCAGTTTTTGTTTCGTTCGTCTCTGTTTGCTCTTCAATATTGCGAAGAAGACTGCGCTCGTCGGCAAGCTGCCGATAACGCAACATGTTGTCTACGTTGAACTGATAACTTCAGTGGTCATTTGAAACACTTCGTCCGTCTATTCACATCCGAACTAGTCGTTAAGAGAGAATTGAATTGATTTAAAAGAATTTATTCGGGCTTAGCGAAAGAATGAACCCGACAGCGCTGACATTTTTGCAGCCCGAACACGATCCGGCTCGCCATTTCATTCAATTTTCAAGAAATGACGCGAAAGTGTGGCCCTGACGTACTTATAGACACATATCCTTTCTCTCGAAGTGTTCACAAGTTTGAAGGACCTGTTTCTCATTTGACATATTCAATTCATTGTTGAAACATACGCATTTCGAACATATGTTGCTTGTACTTTTCCCGATGTTAGTTTACATCAGTTGAATGCCTCAAATGATGGTGCTTTCACAGGCACAGTGAGTGATGGGGTCTTTTCCAACAAAGGGGAGGGGGCATGTTGCTGCAGTTCTGCTGATGTACGATAATCTCAATTTCTGCAGAGAATAAAGTTTCAGTGATGGAGGCGGTAGTTGATGCTTTCCGGAATTCTCCCTCTCCGCCCACCCACCTGCGAAAATTGGAATTCTACAAGCGGCGTCAACTAGCGCATCACAACCCCTCCCCCTCATTGGAACAGACTCAATAATGGAATAAAA